CCCCCCCCCCCGCGTCCCCCACGCCCGCCCTCGACTTGGAAGGAAGTTCCATTGAAATCAGCGGCGCTTCCTTCCACGAACGCTATTTTCGGGTCAGGGAGTGGGATGGAAAAGTTTTCACCTCGCTTTCCTCTCAGCTCGCTGCTGGGGCTTCATTCGAAGCCGGGTTTTGTTTTGTTTTTCACACGCAGGGATCTTAGAATATTAGAAAAATACAGGAGTATATAAAATAGAGGAATATATGCAAATAGGAAGACTGTGTCACTGTGCATGGACAGAGTGCCTTTAGAATAGTCCAGTATAATTACAGCCTGGCATCCGTCTCCTGTTTTTGATGTGTCTCCAGAAGATACTTCTGTATTGAGTAGGAGGCAGACTGGGTGGCTTTAAATGGCTGCTTCACACCCTTGCATGTTGGCCTCAGAGGAGAAGCTGATGTATGGCAATCTCTGTGTGTGATCACAAAGGTGGCACAGCCACCCGTTCCTTCAAATTATTTATTACATTTATATCCCACCTTTTTTTCTGATTTCAAGGAACCCAAAGCAGCTGACCTAATTCTCTTCTTCTCCAGTTTATCCTCTCAACAGCCCGAAGTAGGTCGGGCTGGGAGTGAATGACTGGCCTGAAGCCACTCTGGGATCTTCATGGCCAAGGGGGGCAGGAACTGGAATCCAGCTTTCCCAGGTTCCTGGTCCAGCAGGCCAACTGCTATGCCACACTGGCTCTCATGTGAGAGAATAAATCTACAAAGTAAGGAGATGGTCACCGTGGTGGCTGCATGATGAGCTGTTTTGCATGAGACACTCCTCTGCCAGCCCCAGAAGAGGAATCCTAGTGCCACATCAGAAGTGTTGGAGTAGTTAGCAACCTGGCTGGCAGTCACTGATCACTCGGTCAGTTGCTGCAGGATCGCCTTTGTGCCGGTAGTTGGGTGCACTGATTCAGCCAGTGTCATTGCTTACCAGCAAGAGAAATCAAGCTAGCCACCAGGCTGAGATTGTGACCAACCCCGTGATCCTCTGAGGAAGAGGGGAGAGGTTAATTTGCAGAGCTTCCTGCTTGATGATCCCTTGGTCCTTTCCAGCCCAGCCTTTCTATACTTTCAGATTTCCGTCCTTCTTACCTTAGGGCAGGTGACACATCACTTGAAGCTAACATACCCTCCCCACCTCAATACATTAAAAATAGGGAAAACGGCAAGAATTGTGCATTGCTAACCAGCTTAGCTCAACCATCTCAAATAGCCTAGTGCCTTAGGATGCTTGGGCTTTAAACTTTCTAAATTTTCTTGCTTATGGGATTTTAAAAGGGGCTCAGATAATGCTGTCTTCACCTTGTAACCCTTGGTATTTTTCCATCAGTTCTCCCTTTTTTTACCTTTACACACACGCACACACATTGTTATGGAGGAAAAGAAGTCAATTGGCTGATAGCACTGAGTGGAAGAAGCCTTAAATCTTGAGGGGAAGTGCATCAGCTCCTTGAGAATGCCTCAGATTTGATACAGAGCTGGCTTGAGTGTCAGCCAGTCAGCTCAAATGCTAGAATAGACCAGCCTTCCCCAACTCCATGCCCTGCAGATGTTTTGGACATCAAGTGCCATGAGTCCCAGCCAGCATGGTCAGTGGTCAAGAATACTTCGAGTGCTACTTTTAAGTGTTTGGGGAAGGGGAAGGCTGGAGTAGACTGATCTCCAGAACCAACCTATCCCTGTCAGGAGTTGGCCTGTCCCAATAAGCAAGGATGACCCCACTGAGAGCTAGGAGGCAATTTCTTTCAGTAAAAATTAATTGTGGTTATATATTCTGGCTTTGCAATTCACATGTAGTAATTACATTGACAGCTTTTTCAAATGGCTTCCTCCTGAGTTCTGTCCCACACTTAAAAATGCATTACCAAACATCGCAGCATCTTGCAGGCGCATTTGGCTGGGAAAAGGCCTTCCCACTGTATGTATTCAGCTCACAGCAACTTGTATTATTAGCCAAGGTCATGGTGTTGTATTATATATTCTCTTTGCATATAAAAGCAACCTTTAAAAAAAAAAAACCACTTGTCTTCACAACAGTTGTAGGCCACTGTAGTGATACAATGTTCACTGATCTTCATCCACAAGTGGGCCACACCCCAAGCTAATATGGAATATACAGGTTTGTTAATACTGATTCGAATGTTTAGAATCCGGGGGCCTGTGGGCCTAATCCAGCCCACCAGAGTCCTAAATCTAATCTGCAGAGCCATGGAACCAAGGCTCAGCTCCTGTAGAAAACACTCTGGAGGATTCCACTCTGTGGCAGAATCTTTCCCCTGGAGGAATCCTTGCTGTTATCTCAGAGCAAAGACAACAGGAGATCAGAGATGACAGTGGGGATTCCCCTGCTCAACCCACTCCCTCCCATTGGGATAGCAGTGGGGATACAGACCATTCATTGTTTTGCCCCATTTTAAAAGGGAAGTAGGAAAGTAAAGGAGTGAACCAGAAATGTGGCTCAGTGTTAAAAGTGGTTCCCATGTGAGGGTGCAGGAAGCTGTAGATTGCAACATAAAGTGACATGCTCCAGGCTAGCCATGAATCTAGGGCAGATGTGGGTTTCTTTCACTACCTTCTGGGTCCTATATGGGGGATTCTAGCATATGACTGAGAGCAAAAAAGAGTAGTGTTTGATGTAGGTAGTGCTGTTTGCCATTTTTGCTTGTTTAATCCAGAGGGGAAAATGGAGCTCGTCAGTGATCCTAAAGCCAATCTGTACATCTAGCAAAAACATATAGAGCTGATTCCAGACCAAGCTATACTTAGAAGAGACCTGCTGAAATCATTGGAATTAACTTACTTAAGTCTCATATGTTTCACTGGATCTACCCTAAAAGTGACTTAGACTGGATCCAACCCATAGTGAAATCCCCTTGTCAGGGCACAAACATGTCCCATTTTAGAGTGCATGTTTTTACTTGCAACATTTTTCTAAAGAATCCTTGTAAGTAGAAAACTAGCTCATCAAAACCAAAGGCTGGAGCCCCTTTCCTTGACATGTCTACTTTCCATAAATTGAGTGTTTTAAATGTGGAAGAAAATTGTAATGGAGGATCTCTCCTTTGCCATGTGAAGTGGCAAAGTCCCAGGGTGGTCTTTCCTGAGAGTATAAATTGTCCTTTTAAAAAATTGTGCTTCATGTTCAGTAGGATAAAAGCAGGGTCTGTTTTCTGTGGGAAAATGGCATGAGAAGAAGAAAGAATTAAGAGGTTGTCTCAGTATTAGTCTTCCACTCAAATTGTAGCCCCGGCTGCTTCTGCATTGTATAAAAACAACATCTTAGAATAAATCAGAAAGGCATGGAACAACATATAACACTTCTGACCAAAGAGAGTCAAAAAGGTTAGGATGTCTCAGAAGCAATGATAAGCTGCACATTAATTGCAAGGAAATGCCACAAAGTGAATTGGGCTTGGTTCAACTTCTCTGTGTGGAGTTGTGGATACATGTGCCAAACGGATGTCAGGAAGAAAAAGGAATGATATCAATCCACACAGAATGATTGGGCAAGCATTACAGGATCTGTTCTCATAGTTTGGCTACGATTGCTAGGAAACTGAACTGGAAGATCAAGCTCTTTGTACACAGAGTGTACACAGGGGCTACCGAAGCCTCTGAAAATCATCAAAAGATAGGCAAGGAAAAGCAATGACAAGGGAAGAGGCTGGGTGATTGCCTCCTTGACCATCAGCAAAATTACATCTACTGCTCAAAAAAACGACACCAAAGATATATAACTGGTGCCCTGCCCCTGGGTTATGTGTAACCAACCTGTAGGAGCTGCCTTTCCCAACATGGCATTCTCCAGATATGTTTGACTACAGCTCCCATCATTCCTAGCCAGAAATGGTTCATGTTTGAAAGACTACTCTCTGCTGACTTGCATCAAAAAGAAACTTGATGCAATTAGATCAGGAGTGATGTTGGAAAAAAACAAAACAAAATAAAACAACAACAAGAACAACAGCTGAAATGCCGGAGAATTCCTAATGCACTGGCTGGGGGTCATAGGAGTTATAGTATAGGACTTCCAGGTTGGGGAAAGGTGGTGCTATAGAGAAATGCCAGTGTTTGTGCTTTTACTGTCCCTAGCAGAAAATGTTCTGCTATCACTGCATTGAGGCCCAGCTGCATATCACCGGCACTGCCCAAGGGCTCACTTCCCACTAAGGCCTTCAAGGCAAGCAAGCCCTTCCAGTGGGCCAGCACAAACTATGTTTTGTTTTGGGGTTTTTTGGGGGGGGGGCATGGCAACATCATGGAAAATACCCTAAATTCTCTATTTATTATTATAGTGCCCAATAGCCAGAGCTCTCTGGGAGCTCACAACAGTTGAAATCATAAAAGGCAACATAGCAGACATAAAAATATGAGAGTTTTAAAGTACATTATAATTTATTTATTTATTTAGGATATTTGTATGCTGTCCTTTGCAAGAGCCTCAGGACGGCTTACACAAATAAAATACAAATATCTAACATAAATAAATGACCCACTCTGGCTGCAATTAAAATATGATAAAATTAAATATTAAAACTTATTAAAATATTGATTAAATAAAAAGGTCTTAACCTGGCGCCAAAAAACATATAATGACGGTATAGAAGTAAAAGAAGTATAGAAGAAGTAAATATAGAAGTAAAAGCCAAAGCAAAATATTTAAAATAATCTCTACCGAAAGTAGCTCATCCTACCCTGTGAGGCATATTCTGGTGGCCACCATGTGGAAGCCATAATATGTAAGACAGCTCTTAGGATCATCTTTTTAAGTTAGTCCAACACTATCTATATGTAGTGGGTTGCCGA